ATTAACCTTGGTCATATTTTTGAAAATGATGATCCACTAATAGAATGGCTGCAAGAGAAAGAAAAATCTCTATTAGATGGTCAAAACTCTTATTGGTTGCCTATAAATAATTTTGATAATGAAATAAATGTTGAACAATCACACCAATCTCAAGAAATGAATGTGTTTCATTCAAGTTCAAGTCCAACACTAAATCAAAGTGATAATGATGAAGGTTTAAATCCGGATGATGATGATAGTGATGGTAATAATGCGAATTTTGATGGTGATATAGATGCAAATTGACCTTACAACCCATTTGGAGAAAAACTTAACTTGTTGCTACTAGTGAACTTTTTAGCAAAATACAGAGTAAATTCATCTGTTGAATTTAGTGGAGGTCAAAGTGTAAATACAACTCGATCAAAAGAAAAAGCCAATAAGCATCACTATGATATTTCTAAAGGTTTTTCATCTTCAGATAAGAGATCAAATTCTAGTAATTTTGAGTATAGTAAATCATATGCTAGTATTCAAAGACGTTAGTATCCACCAAAATAACATAATTTTTAACATTTTCATAGTTATCTACCTCTATATGGTTATTATCCATCTCAAATATATCTTTCACCTCCAATGTATCTTTTACCACAAATGTATCCTCCATCATAAATGTATCATCCTCAAATATATTATCCATTTTAAATGTATCAAGAACAAAAGCCATAGGGATAAGGATGGAGTCAACTTGACTTTTAAAGTAAAGATAGAGAATTTGATCCTCGTCATTCGATCATGTGGTAAATTTTGAAATATATATCAATAATTATAGTTAATGGAATTTAAATTTATTATATTTTTAAGTTTATAATTTTCTTAAATATAGATGCTTGGTATTTAACATATTATGTTTTGTTAATAATTGATTTATCTAGAGTTGATACTGAATATGAACTTAGCTCAAACAAAAATTTTGTTACTAAACCAAAAATGAATGTTTTATTATAATCTATATAAATTGTGAATAATTTTTTTAAAAAATAAAAAATATAGAGTGTCATAAATTAGTTTAAAAATCATTAAATAAAAGTTTATATGATTACAATTATTACATTTTATAACAAATTATGCAAAATTAAAAAAAAATTTACAATCGCCATGACCGTAATGGTCTCCATTATATTTATATGATGCAACTGAAAACATGACTGCAACATCTATTTAAATCTCCGATCATCACATGGTTTTGAACTTCAATAACGTTAGGCAAAAAACATATAAGATCTGTTATTAACTATGTCAAAGCCATGGATTACATACATATGAATCTCTTATACCTTCTTCATTTGTTCTATCATTAATAAACATGACATATTATCATAGCATTCCCTTAATCCATGATTTAACTAGCCCATGGTATAAGGTAATATAATTTTCTAACATTAGAATAATCAACATCTTTAATCAATCCAAACAATATATTATATGACAACACATCAGGATCAATTTCCCACACATTTATATCCCCCCCCCATATATGCTAAATCAGGATTATGAACAAATGCAAACTGTGCTTTATCAAAACCATTTTCTTAGACTATAAAATGACCCATAAATACAATAGGTAAAATAAAAAATTAGTGCCAATGAAAGCAACATGTTACAAAGTAAAACATTAATTACGTTTCAATAATGCAAACAAAAGTTATAGAGATAGATCCATCAAAAGCTAATCAATTTATACACCATGTAGAAATGTTGATTACCTAGCCTTAATCACATTAATAATGTAATCTCAAATCACAAAATAATATATCAATGGAATATCAAATCACGGAACCCTAAAAAAGGACAAGATAGAAGAAAAGGTATGAAAATTCTACTTAAAAGAACAAAAGAAAATTGATTTACGTACCCAATAAAGAAACAACAAATAAAAGTACAAAAAACCCAAACTTAGTAAGCATTGTACAACATATATAACCCAACAAAAAAAATGACAAAAAATAAAGAATAGAAGAATAAAAATACTTGTAGATTCTTCATGATTTGATCTCTCTATTTGGAATTAGAAATTTTTATAAAGTAGTTTTTTTTTTTTTGGAATTGGAGATTTCAATTAAGGGTTTATTTTGTTGGAAATTGGGTAATTTATTAGGGGTTTCTTTTAGGGGGCATTTGCTTCGCGAAATCTTGGATTCCAAAGGAAAGTGTGATCCCCATAAAAATGCAATACTCAAGGTTTTCTTTCATTTTAAAAGCTTCATGTGTTTAGTTCACTCGTTTAGTTGGGGAATCTACATATATTAATTCTTAAATAATTACCATAATTTTTTTGACATATATGATGATAACTTTTTATTAGCTTTTATTGATAATAAATACCCAAACTACAAATGATGCTTTTAACAGCAAAAGAAGACAAATATTTTATTTGATTGTTGTTTTTATTTTTAAAATATCATCAATAAAAAAATAGTGGGGATTGTTTAAGGCATTTCTGGTTGGGAATCACCTTAAATAATCTCTTTTATTTTTTTTTAAAATTGATTATTAAAGATATTTTTTTATCCAAAAGCCTCTTAAATAAAATGCCATTTAAAAAATATGAAAAGATTATTTAAGGCCTTTTTTTTTTTTCCAAAAATACCTTAAATAATCGTCAATATTTTTTTAAAAGGATTATTTAAAGCATTTTGACTAAAAATGTTTTAAATAATTACTTTCATTACTTATAAGATTTAAGAAATAAAATATAAAAAATTAAAATAGATTTGTCAGTTAGAGCATATGACTATTAATTATAAGGTTGTACGTTTGATCTTTCTTTTTAATGATTTAATGTTATTGACGGACATTATTTAAGGTATTTTTTACCCTTAAAAAAATTAAAGGGTATTATTTAATGTATTTTTTACTAAAAACGTCTTAAATAATCCATTTAATTACTTATAAAATTTAAGAGATAAAATATAAAAAATTTTGAGTAGTTTAATTGGTTAAAGCATATGGTTATTAATTTTAAGGTTATAGGTTTGACATCTCGTTCTAGCGCTTATTTTTGGAGATTACTTATAAGATTTTTTTTAAGAATTATTTAAGGCATTTCTAGCCAGAAAATGGCTTCAATAATGTTGATCAATTTTTTAAAAGATTATTTAAGGCATTTACTAGTTAAAAATACTTTAAATAATCCGTAAAAAAATTTGAACAACATTATTTAAGGCCTTTTTTGGCTAGAAAATATCTTATACAATGATGATCAATTTTTTTAAAAGATTATTTAAGGTGTTTTTTACCAAAAAAATGCTTTAAATAATCTCAAAAAAATTGAACAAGATAATTTAAAATGTTTTTCATGCCAAACGTCATTAATTGTAATATAAAAAAAATTTTAGCAGTAGAAACATACAATTGATTTGCAATTACTTCCAGACATACTTTTCAAAATGGTAATGATTATTTCATAATTTTTTATTTAGGTCAAATTTAAAAATAATGTAACTTTTCTCCCAAAATCTTAGAATATTACAAGGAGATGTGAGTTTTTGATTCTAGGACTTTCGATACTATTAAAAATCTGTCACTTTTTCTTGGAATCGAGTTACTTTAAATCAAATATTGAAATCAAATATCCACTAGTAAAATTCTAGAAAAAAAATACATTGATTTTCTAGAACCAAATGTCCTCTTAGGATTTTTTTTTTTTTATTTCTCCAATGTTGCCTTTTTTTTTTTTTTAAATTTAGTTTTAATGTTTCAAGAAGTCTTATTTTTAAGATGTTACATGAAGAAATAATAATAGAATTAAATAAGAAAACATAACTGTGAATAAAAATTAAAGGTAAAAAAAATTTCACTAGCAGTAAAATTCTTATTCAAGCATACTAATAAAGATGCCATGTGACATCTATATTGAATTTTCAAGTGGTATTTAATATTTTTAATTAACATATGGTAAATATGTGGTATAATTTTACAATATGTTTAGATTGAGGGGAGAGGAATGAAAGGAAAGGAAAATAAAGGAAAGTAATAAAAATAGAAAAATTATTTCTTTGTTTGGATAAACTTTTAATTTAAAAGAAAAAAAAAAGGTGGAAGCTCAATAACTTTTAATTTCCTTTGTAATTCTCATTTTTTTAATATCTCAATTTGGAGGAAAAAGCTAAGGAAATGAAAGTTGAAAAATTTTTATTTTTATAAAAAGACTATTATATCTATTTTTTTATTAATACTAAAAACCTAGTAAAAAAAACCTAACCACACCACAATCATCTTATAATTTTTTTCAACGTCATCTCTTTTTTCAAGTAAATTTCACATGTCTATTATAATATAAAAATTTTTATAAATTTTTGATGATTTGATGTTGATGAATGATTCAATATGAATAGATATATTTTTTTAAGTTTATGAGATGTCAGACTAACTCACAATCATCCATCAATGCATATTTATAAAATATCTTTTTATTTCACTTAATTAAAAAAAATTGATATAATAATAATTATAAGATCAAATAAGATAATAAACATATTAAGATTTATGAGTGCTTTTAAATTATAGACAATAAAATGTTATAATAGAAAAAAATTATTATAATGAATTTTTTTTTTACTTTTTATTCAAATAATAGTTACTAAAATCCTTTTTTTTCTTCATTTGTTTTATTAATTTTAATTATTCAAATAAAAAATACGTATATTTTTTTTTCTTTAAAAAAATTTTTTTTAATTAATATTTATCAAAACATAATGATATAGACTAAATACCATATAAGCATATTGAGCTAACAGTGTGAAGTGATGAATTAAAAATTTTAAAGTTTTTAAAGTTCAAGAAATGATTTATTTATTTATTTTATTTAGGTGTCAATTTATTCATTTTATTAAAGTTTGGGTACCAAAACCGTAGTTAACTCTTTTCTTTTTTTCTTTTTTTTTTTTGCGTTTTCCTTTTGTTCACCGGAGATTGCTGCAGATTAGCTCGAATCATTGGAGTTGAGTGGAGGCTGTTTAGTTTACTGACTCGATCTAAAACAACATCGTTTTGAAATGTCTTCTTCTTCTTTTTATTATTATTATTATTAGTATTAGTATTATTTTAGGTTGCTGCAATGGCTTCTTTGGTACATACTACGTATACTAACAACTAATGGTAATTTGACACGTCTTAACTCAACCTTTTCCACTTACCGATCTTTATAACGCACCAACACAACTCTTACCGAGTACTCTTCCCCTTAATTCCTAGTAAATTGTCAATAAAAAAAAAGAACCCTGTAATTCTGGAGAGCCAAAAAATCCCTGTTCTTTGGACGAGATTATCCGTTTTTAGTTTGTAAGTTTCCATTGTTACTTGTACTTTCGGTTTATTCTTTCTTACTCTATGTCTGTTTGGTTCTCGAGAAACTAGAGCGAAAGAAAATTAGAACTAAAAAAGAAATATCTGTTTCTAACTTTTTGAGTTCCGGAAAAAAACAACGAGGCAAAATTTCAAACTTTCTTTGTTTTTTCGAAATATTAAAAGGAGGATAATTTTTGTTTCTTGTTCTGTAATATGGCTGTTTCTGTTACCCAACAAATGGAGAAGATTTTAGGCTTCTTTTTGTCTTTTATTATTATTATTTATTTTCCCTAGAAAAGAAATATAAATAACTTAAGACTGATTCTTTCAGCTCAAAGTACTTTTTCAGGACAAATTTCATGAATGTATCCAGGGTTTCTGCTCTACTAACAGCTAGTTGTTGAAAAAAATTTTGAATGTTGTTGTCTTTGGGGTTAGATAGTTGAGATTGATGATGGGGACGAATTTGGAGGAAGTGGAGGAAAAACTTCCAAAAAATGTGCTTTTTTATGATGGAGAGGTGGGAAACTTTAGATTTGGTGAATCGGAAGAGAGGATCAAGAAAGCTGAAGCAAGGTGTCTGGAGTTGGAATTGGAGGCTCAAACGAGGATGAGCGAGTATGAAGCACTTGAGACTAAATTTAGGGCATTAGAAGTAGCAAAGCTTGCACTTGAGGATGAAATTAAGGTTTTGAAGAGTCGTAATAATGAAGTCGGTAATCTGAGTAGTCACAGTGATAATGAAGAGGTGGTTGTTTACCAAGGAAAAGCAGTGAGTGAGGTAGTTGTTGATTTGACTGAGGAGAATGATGAGGAAGATAAGGTTTTTCAGCTGATGACCGAGAATATGGTTTTGGAATGTGAGAAGAGTAAGGCTGAAAATGAGGCTGAAGTTTGGAAGCTAAAGTTCAAGGAATTGGAATCACTGACGTTACAGCTGCAAAAGAGCTTGGTTTTGAAAACTGCAGAACAGCCATTTGAGGGGAAGACATCTGATAGAAATTATTGTACCTTAGCTAGTGAGAACAAAACACTCGAAGCTGTTAAATCAAGAGATGGATCTCAAGTTGGAACCACTTTAAACCACATGCCAGCCATTGACAAAGCAGTGAGTTTCATGGATTCTGGATCTACACTGATTTCCCCTCGTAAATGTACTGGAAATCTACAACCTGGTAATGATGATTCTTTGCTTCCTATTCTACATTTTATATTGTCTCGTCCAAATCATGCCACATTAGGAGGCCCAAGCACATTCCAATCATCAATAAATAGAATGGATTCTCCTGTCTGTGCCTGTTAAATTTGTACACATCATTCTTTATAATATCTTAGCTTTAAGAATTTACTTTAAAAGCTACATTTTTATATGTATCTTAGTGATTTTTTGTTTCTGATATTTAGGAAGGACTAATTCTTATATCCTTGTTTCTACCACATTTTTTTTCATTCAAACACAAGCACACCTGTTATTAAAAAAATTTTGCACAATAAGGAAAGGTAATTTGTTTCTGTTTGAGTGGTTAGAGGTAGTACATCACAGTTCACTGTCTTTATCTCCATATTGGTGTTTGATTTTGTTGTAGGGACACCTGTTGGTGACACACCTTATGAGCATTTCACTTCTTATAAGGGAGATTACAGAGTGCACAGTAGTAAACGAGTTAAAAGACATTTGGCATTTCAAGAGGAAAGAAGCCCCAGTAAACAGATGGCTCCATCCACTCCCGCTGGTGCTAAACCTGCATCAGTTAGCATAATTGATATTCATGATAGTGATGATGAACCTGATTCGGCACACAACCAAATACCTTCTACAAGTAAGCAGGAAAATGGCCATGGTAGCATTTCAACTAATTATGAATTGGAAGGAACTGCGGGTAGTGAAAATGAAGCCAGGACAATTGGTGATCAGAAAGTGGTTCCCAAAAGAAAACGAGCCACCAATATTGTTACTAGTGACACAGAGTGTGATGATAATGATGATAATGTTCCGATTGGTACACTCTGGAGGATGCGTTGTGAGGAAGTGGTTCCTGATCAAACAAGCGTCAAACCTAAAGATTGCCTGGTGGCTGCTACTACCCCTGGGATTGGCAATGTCAGAGGTAATTTACCTCCTCGAAAGAGGAGACTAGTATCACTCAGACAATCTGAAGGAAAAGTAAAAAATTGCTCTTCAAGGAAGAACAGTGAAAGTAAATGCAACAAAGGAATCCCTACAACTGAGGATGTTGAAGATGACAATTCAGAAGAGATTGAGTCAACCAGTGAGAGTGATAGTTTGAATGATTTTATTGTTGATGACTCTGACATTGCTGATGGTGAAAATGGTTGTAGTGAGTCACAAGATGGTTCTAATTGCAATATTGCTGATAGTGGGCAAGAAGATGTTTCAAGTGGCAGCAAAGCATGTTGTGGCTCAACAGATGTTTCAGATGATGAAGTGGACTTTGATGTGATTCTCTCTCAACTTAAAAGGAACAAAGATCATAAATCGGATTGGAAGTTTGAGGGAGAGCTGCTTGCAGCCTTTGGCAAGGATCTGGAACTGTGCATGAAGGCTGTATGTGCTCTCTACAGGCAGCAAACATCAGGGGAGAAACTTTGCAAGGCAACCTTATGTCAAAATCAGCGAGGTTTTAGTAAATTTGATGCCTACAGGTGTGAATTTGAATGTTTAAGGTCATTAATAACTTTTTATCTGTTGATAGGGGCTTGAAAGTGTTCACTTCTTAGTTGAGGTATAAATGGGACCACTTTTGCATGTTTGAATCAGCGTGTTGTTGCATAATGCTTTTCATTTATTATTTTAACTATTTAAGAGATGCATACTTTTTTGCCTTTAGTTGTTTGACTATTTCTTGTACGGTTTTCTCTTTCATTCAGTTTAAATAAATAAAAATCCCTGCTTCTAACATTCACATTCATCAATCACCATGGCTGAGGCAGTAGCTTTATGGTTGCCACACTTCCATCTCTACAATTTAGGTGCCAATCTTGTATAGAGTTCCAAATTCGGTGTACTTTCCAGTAGCTGACTTGTATCTGCTGGAATTTTTATTGTCTTACAGGGGCTGTACTTTGGCTGAGTTTCTAACTGATGGTGACCCACAAGGCGATCTAAAGAAATCTGTGAAGGAGTTGCAAGCGTATGATCCAAATGCGGTTGAGCTGTGCAGAAATTTGGCAACCCACTATTCGAAGCAACTGTTTGAGATCTACAACAGCAAAGAGGATCCTTATTTTCTTCCTTCTTAGGGTGCCCTGCAACAATTTAATTTAAAGCAGCCTGAACTCGAAGGAAAGCCAGGGAGTGTTGTTTTTGGTAATTTATCCGTTCTCTGCTATGTACTTACTAATCTGGTATCTTCTACTTTCGCATGAATGTATTAGAAAACACTAAACCTTTTGAATGTCTGTATGGAACATAGGACAAAATGTATATAAATCTTTATTTTGTATCTAATAGTAGCTTGCTATAAGTATTGCTTTCTGTTGGGTTTTTTGGTAATGACAATGGGCTGTATGTTGATCAAACTGGTTACAAGTTTTTGCAGTTAGATGACAGCAGGTATCTTTACTCTCCAGAAAAGAACGGGAAAGGGAGAACTGAAAAAATGGATTAGTGCCTACGAGACAACCTTTAACAAAGATTATATAATGGACATATAGTTAGATTGCTGATCATTTCGGGTAACGAGGCCAACCGTTAACAACTGTGAATTGTTGGGAAAAGATTATTAATGATTAGAATAACATTATTTTTTGGAAGAGACGCCGTCGTTTTTTTTGAAAGACATCCAAAATTAGAAGAAGAAGTGTGCTTTACAGTTACACCAGTAATATTCCAAGTTTAGAATATTTCAGTCAAAGCTTGTGTCTTGACAGACCAATACAGTTAAAACTTAAAATCAACGTCAAAACATACGTTATTTCTTAAACAATATATCATAAATTACAATTAAAAAATGAAAATCGGAAGTTTCTATTCTGGCTACAAAACTCCAGCAAAAAACAGCCGACCTGTTATCTCTTGAAATACAGCTTGGAATTATTATTACAAGCAACAAAACCAAGCCCAACATTAAACAAAGCAAATCAAGAAAAACTAAATGGAGACTAACATGGGTCTGGCAGTCTGTGGGTCCCCTAAAAGTTGCACTCTTTTCTCTCGAGTTGAAAGTCTTTGAAAGGCTATAAAATGGGTTTTGGTTGCTCTCTTCAAATTCACCAAAAATACCTTTGCCTCTTCTCTCGCTCTGCCTAGTCTTCTCTACATCATCTCCCCATCTTCTCTTTAATTTTTCTCTTTCTTTCTCTCCTTCTCTCTACATTCAGGACAGGCCAAAACCATTTTCAAATTTATTGAATAATTGCCCAAAATTATCAAAGAACAGAGAGTGATTAACTGAAAAACACAAAAGCAAAAACATGGCAGTTTCAAGGATTTCTTTGGGTATATTTGCGGTCATTGCTATAATTTGCACCATTATTTTGCCCATGGCTCAGGCACAATCCACCTCTCCCGCTCCTGCGCCCACAATCACAAGCGATGGTATCCCTTTTTTTTTTTCCCATTTATTATTGCATACAAAATCATTAAAAACATCAACTGCTTTTCAAATTATATATCTCTAAAATAGCTGTTCATTGAAGGATTAAAGCAAAACATTTTTCTCCGAAAAACTCTATTGATATACATAGACCTAACTTGTAGCATATCTATTTGTTTGCAGGCACCGCAATTGACCAAGGAATAGCATATGTTCTAATGTTGGTGGCTTTGGCGCTCACATACCTTATTCACTAATTTGGCAGCAGAACGTACGTTGCATTAATTTATGAAGTAGTAAATGTTTCCTGGTTTGAATTTTGATGATGGGGAAGGGAACTAAAACAACACAAAAGCAGCATCGAAAATATTACTTCAATGCCAATGGTGTGCACTACATGCAGATTGCAGTGTAGTTAGGAAGATCGGGTTGTTTCGAGGGAAGCTAATTTGGAGGAATGTTTCATTTTGAAATTTTCTCCTCTATGTTTTAAATGTTTCTGTAGTAATGATAATGTTCTTCGTTTAGGCTGTGGTTGAAACTTGCTCTCTTTTTTTGGTATATTTTTAGTTTAATTTAAGAGTTCGTTTCTCCTACTCTTAACATCGATTTTGATTTCATATTTAACAATATTTTGTGTAGTAGTTTCAACAAATCTGCAAATTTAATTTCTTTTCTCTCCAGTGAAGTCTGTGCGTGTGTAAATACTCATCAAATTCAATAATTATTTAATATTGAAAATTGAATTGTTAATTAAGAATTGAACATGTACATCATCCACATGTTAAAAAAAGAACGAACCATCCGCATCAAAATTTTTCTTTTTTACAAAACGTTTTGTCTTTTATATATTTATATATTTGATATTAGAAAATTTCACCAAAGGGAAATATATGTATAAATGGGAATTTAAGAAATCAATTAAAGGTGTTGTTAATTGATCAAAATGTCAATCAATACTGTTTTACAATAGAGATGCATCGAGAAAATTAGCCTTTCCATCAAATGGTTTGGCTTTTATACATTTACTAGAAAATAAAACCCAAGCTTTGTTGTGAGAATGTTAAAAAAATTAAAAATATGTATCTAATTTCTTTGAATTCAATGATAAAAATATAATTATCAAATAAAAGAATTTATGTAATACACTATTAAGATATTAAACATAGAGAGCTTAATTCAAAGTTTAAAGTATAGTTTAAGGTGACATTAATAATTTTGATAAATAACTAAAAAATATATATATAAATTTCAACAAAAAACTTTATATAATATATTGTCGAGCAAAATAGGTTTAATTATTTGTATTCGAATTCTTCACAAGGTAAACATAATCTAGATGGTGAAAAAAAATGTGATAGAACCATTACAAATAATTTAACTCCATCCCTTATATTATATTATATACACGCGCACACACACACATACACACATATATATATATATATATTTACATACATGCAATGATTATTGGCATTTCTAAATAAAGTTACCAAAAACTTATGAAATAGAACCCAAAAATATTATTTATATATTTTCAATAACAATGACATAATTCATATATTTATATATATATATATATATTAGTATAAAGTTTCTTAATTTATGTCATAAGTCAAAGTGCTTAAAAAAATGCAACTTTACTCATTTATCTTATATTGGCGAGTTGATGAGTGGTTGCTTGCCCATTCTTCTCATATTCTTTTCACCCAACCCTTGCCACTTGTTTTGTAATATTGAAATCACAATAAATATGAAACCAAGTTTGAATTAATCCTATAATATCATGTACATAAGGCGTCATAGTCACAAAAAATGAAGAGATAATGAGATAAGTGTAGTTAAATAAAAGTTAATATTACTATACGGAATTCCACTAACAAAAACTACAAGCAAAAAATATATATACATAGCAAAAGCTTGTAACCGCAAAGACGATTAAACCTATGATAACTATTCCATTTAAAACAATTTTAATGACACATTTCTTGGATTAAACTATTCCTCAAACTCACACAATCGACCCACAAATCATATCTAAAAGCCAAGTTATTAACTATTAATTATAAAATTCATGAGCATCTCTTATAAAGGAGAGGAAACATTCATAGAAATGATAAAAAAAATCAAGAGTGTTAAAAATTTAAGATTGCTACTCAATTTCAGCTTTTTCAAAACATAAAAAGATTAAATTCAGCTATGATTGCAAACTTCATACATATAATCAAATGATACATATAATACATATCCTTAACCAATACAAAGACATCTAAAGCAGCTTTGAACAACAATCACTAATAGAGAGTTTTAGATATAAATTATCAAAATATTTAATTTATTTCCTAATCCGAAACTTGATATTTGTTCATATCATTAATATGATTGTATCTATAAGAGTCATACCTTTGGATATTTTCGTTGAATATATCCAATAAATGCCTTCAAAGACATACTTGAACATTAAATGATTGCAAAAATCCCATTTGTTGAAAACTTAAAACCAATATGCCAATGATCAAATTCTCTATCGCAAGAACCTTTGATTCTAACTAATGCTTCACGAATCCTTTTCGTGTGTCTTTTCCTCTTGAATTTAGACTATCCTTTATCCAATTAGAATCAAATAACTACTAAATTTTGTAACTTAAACGAAAAAATAATCTTAAAATGACTAGTTCAAGTGTTACCAATGCAGTCAAGATAACTTTTATAGAAATTGATAAAAGAAAAAATTACCTAACCAAGCATAACAACCGTATTAGCGCTCTGCAAGTCGGGATCTAGGTTTCTTCCATCAAGGTACTCATTGTAACACCAAACAAACTCTCTAGCCAAATGTACCCTTTTCAGATCTTATTTAAAAAATTTACATAAAAAATTGTTTAAGCAACAATCATTACGACTCCATTATCATCGGACTTCATAGAAACTGAAAACAAAATGTAAAATTATTAAGCTTATTCCTCCAAGCAACAAAAAATTTAGGAAAAAATCTCAAAATGAGGAACTTGGAATAACATCACTTATTGCCCTACAATAACATCAAAAGAGATAGGAACAAAGAGAACTGTGACAAAAAGTTTGACCTTATTAAAGAAGTAAAAGAAACACATATTACATTATAAGATTTGGCAGATATTCACAAAACTAAGGCTTAAGATGAACTTAGAATGAGAAAACCATAAACAAATAATTTTTAGTAGTTTTGTCTTGTTTACCTTTATCGTTTTCAGTTAGACATTTGATATTGTTATTAATTATTGAAATTTAAGTAAGAAGACAACTAAATTCTAATGCTAATCATGTACCTTATAAGAGCACTAACTAAAAAACTAGGAAAAATTATTAGAAATTTTATATTGTAAGTTACCTAATTTCATTCCCAACTACATTTGCTGTTGGCCTTGACTAGTTCATGTTATATATGGATACATGCAAATAGAAGCAAATAGTCAGTGAGATTAGTATCCAGACTCAAAACCTTAGAATTTTGATCACCAAGGCCATAACTACAACAATAAGGATTGAAGATTTATTTCCATTTTTTAATAAAATTCAAAATTTTATTTTAGTAATGGTTGGGTAAAGGATTTTTATAATACTCACTTGTAGTCACAGATCCTATGCAATCCACCATCTTTAAAAAAAAAGCAGTAAATCTTTTGCTATTTCTTCCTTCTTTCTCATATTCTTTCTTCTCCCCATTTTCCTTCCAAATTCAAAGCTATTATCTTTGGTTAGCAATCCACCAAAAAAATCATATCCTTGAGCCCCCATTTTTTCTTCAAAACCCTCTTAAACAAATCATTGAAAAAAAACCCATTTTGAAAAAAGAAAAGAAAAAATAATAACTTCGGCCTGTTGAAACTAACAATTACTATGCTCTTTTGTTTGTTTCCTTCAGTGATCGGCCCAAAGATGGAACATACCTTTGATTTTCAGAACCTATCAAACATAACCAAAAGCTTCAATCTTGTTTTTTTTCAATAAAGAAACCCTAACAATAAAGAAACCCTTAAAATCCAAAAGCTTCTACGTACTGTTTTATTTCAAAATTACCCATACAATTTTTTTAAGACATTACATATTGTAAAATGGTAACTACTTTTATTTATTATTATAGATATTAGACCTGTCTTTTATTTTTTTTTCTTACCTATATATATAGGAGACCAGATTTGGGAAGATATAGTTTTGATTTTGTGAAAGATTTCAATATCAGCTTTGGGTATATACAAGCAAAAACAAGAGGATCGCGAAGATGGAACAGACAACTCTTCAGCCACAGTGCTCTTTGGGGTTATACACTTGCCTCAATTGGGAGAATCTTGAAAAATCAGCTCCTAAATTATCCTAAAATTTAAACTTATGTAGAGTTTGGGACAATTTATTGCTAGGAAACAAAAAGAAACTTGCAAACGAAGAGGTAAGAACCAGTCTAGACCAATTTGCACGTAAAATAGTCCCTTCTTTTTTTCATTTCTAGGGGCTATCTCAGAAAAAATTAATAACTGAAGGGGGATCAAAATTTAAGCTCAACTTGAGCAGTAAGAAACAATGCAACCTGAACAGCAAAGTTGTTCGAAAGAGTAAAACGAAAACTTGTGTGCTAGTGCTACCCCTCATTTGAAGATCTAGATGAGGATCTACAGCGATGAAACCGCTTGTTATTACCAACTAACCTAATTGTATTGCATGCCCATGAAACGCTAAACCTTTAAACCAAGAGAAAACGGATCTAAAACAAAATTTGGCATATCATCAGCATAAAAAGATTGAACTTGTCTTCCTCAACTTGTAAGTCCTACTCTATATGCCAGGTCATCAAACCTCCTCGAGGATTAGAATGCTTAGCAAACCAAAAAACAGGGGACCAGCAGCTCATATTCGTCATGAAGTTGCATAATGGTGATGTAGAACATACTTCACTACTTCATAAAAGGAAAATCATATCCTTGAGCCCCCATTTTTTCTTCAAAACCCTCTTAAACAAATCATTGAAAAAAAACCCATTTTGAAAAAAGAAAAGAAAAAATAATAACTTCGGCCTGTTGAAACTAACAATTACTATGCTCTTTTGTTTGTTTCCTTCAGTGATCGGCCCAAAGATGGAACATACCTTTGATTTTCAGAACCTATCAAACATAACCAAAAGCTTCAATCTTGTTTTTTTTCAATAAAGAAACCCTAACAATAAAGAAACCCTTAAAATCCAAAAGCTTCTACGTACTGTTTTATTTCAAAATTACCCATACAATTTTTTTAAGACATTACATATTGTAAAATGGTAACTACTTTTATTTATTATTATAGATATTAGACCTGTCTTTTATTTTTTTTTCTTACCTATATATATAGGAGACCAGATTTGGGAAGATATAGTTTTGATTTTGTGAAAGATTTCAATATCAGCTTTGGGTATATACAAGCAAAAACAAGAGGATCGCGAAGATGGAACAGACAACTCTTCAGCCACAGTGCTCTTTGGGGTTATACACTTGCCTCAATTGGGAGAATCTTGAAAAATCAGCTCCTAAATTATCCTAAAATTTAAACTTATGTAGAGTTTGGGACAATTTATTGCTAGGAAACAAAAAGAAACTTGCAAACGAAGAGGTAAGAACCAGTCTAGACCAATTTGCACGTAAAATAGTCCCTTCTTTTTTTCATTTCTAGGGGCTATCTCAGAAAAAATTAATAACTGAAGGGGGATCAAAATTTAAGCTCAACTTGAGCAGTAAGAAACAATGCAACCTGAACAGCAAAGTTGTTCGAAAGAGTAAAACGAAAACTTGTGTGCTAGTGCTACCCCTCATTTGAAGACCTAGATGAGGATCTACAGCGATGAAACCGCTTGTTATTACCAACTAACCTAATTGTATTGCATGCCCATGAAACGCTAAACCTTTAAACCAAGAGAAAACGGATCTAAAACAAAATTTGGCATATCATCAGCATAAAAAGATTGAACTTGTCTTCCTCAACTTGTAAGTCCTACTCTATATGCCAGGTCATCAAACCTCCTCGAGGATTAGAATGCTTAGCAAACCAAAAAACAGGGGACCAGCAGCTCATATTCGTCATGAAGTTGCATAATGGTGATGTAGAACATACTTCACTACTTCATAAAAGGAAACCACAATCCCAACAGAAGGGCCAACACGGCCTACACGAGGACCAACTCCTGTAAAAAGTCCCCTCATCCCTCCATCCCTGTTCTAAACAAAATATAATTAGTAACAGCTCATTCCAAATTATACAAGCGGTTTTGACTCAAATCAATCAACATGATAGGTTCTCACATATAATGCAGCAAAACTAAAAGTAAAATCACAAACTCACAGCACAACCAAGCAACAAATAAAAACTAAGACTATGTTTGGATTGCTTTTTTAAAGGAAAGGAAAGGAAAGGAAAAGAAGAGTCCTAAATCGAAGAAGGAAAAGAAAAGGCAAGATTAAAACTTCGTTTGGTTAAAAAATATAAAGTAAATGGTACATTATGAACTTTTTCTATTATACCATTTTAAAATGTTTTTCATGAATAATAATATGATCAATTTAGCAATTAATTACAAAGCAAATTTTAGCAGTAAATATTATTACTATTAGTAACTTATCATTATTTTCTAACTAAAATACAATATTATTTATTGTTTAAAATTATAAATACTAAAATAACACATGCTCAATCGAAAAAACTATGTTTGAAGCAAAAAAATGATACACATAAAATATCCCAGAATCAATAGCAATAGCACTAAGTACCGCACGAATTGCAACACAATCTAGGGTTGAGAATGAAGAATCAGTCCTTGGAGAAACTCAAACCACTTTTGCACGCCCAATCATGTTCCATCAACAGCACAGGAAGATTTCCTTTTGGATATCTCCCATGAGGTTCTTTTTAAAAGAAAAAGAGGGAAGCTAAATTCTCAAAAAGAATGGGTTTCAAGAATGCTTAATGCCTTATTGTTCTCTTTGAGAACAAGGCATGGGTCATGGCACGCTAGGAGCAAAGCAATGGTCTTGAAAGAAAAGTAAAAAAGACAATAAGCATAAATAATCATTTCAAGCTTTTAAACAAATTAATTTTTCCTTACACTACCTTTTCCCCCAATTATGGTAATTAAAAAATGGAGGTTTTAAAGGAAAGGAAGGGATGTTAACCACCCCTGACCCGTCACCTAAATTTTTTTTAATTCAAGTGCAATCCTATCGGGGGAAAGGTTTCTCACCATCCTTAAATTTCTTTTCTTTTCCCCACCTTCCCCTCAATCCAAACATAATGGAACAAAGAAATATAATCAAGTTTGATTCCAATCCCCTCAACATATTACAGATATAATTGTTTCTCGTGCATACTGCTGCCTAAAAAAGCTTATGATTAGTCAAGGACATAGGGCAAATTTAAGGCTTGGGGATTTAGAAACATGCAATATGTACATGTACCATCTCCATCAAAGAAGCTTAATTCAATTTACAATTAGTGAGTATGAAATATACCTCCAAACTTCCATCAATGTCTGCCGTGTTGTCATTTGCAATGCCCTCACAGGGTCCTTCTGAAAATTAAGACAAGGATGGCACATTAGAAAATGGTATTGACTTAAAACAGCATTTACACTAAGTTTAGTTCATTTTCAAATTCTAAACCATTTCTGGGGATAAACTAAAGCCCCTCAGTAAATACCAAAAGTAACTACTACTTAAGTAATACATATAACATAGATAGAAGTCAACAAACACGCAGCAACATTACGAATCATCAATTAGGTTTTGAAGGAGATAAACCTCTATCTGCCTTCGAGTTTTAGCAACATCCAAAGGACAGGTAGCAGCACCAGCAAGGCTTCCAGCAACAAACCCAGCGGAAAAGTTTGCCCCAAGGATAGTAGCTACATTGGGTTCTTCACCCACCAAATCCAGAAGTCTTCTCCTAATCTGCATAAATAGATATAATAACAAAACAATTCAGTTGCTGGCATGTGTAATGTGTTCTCTCAAAAAATCCCAATGTTTTACTAAAAACTATATTGGTTGTGGTGGAAAGGGAGTGGACAACTATAGGAGTTCTAACAAATAGGAACTCACAGGTTCAAGAGTCGACCAACAAATTCCAGAGAACGGGACATCACGAGCAAGCTGTGCTCCCATACCTGTCCATAAGACTCGATAACCTTGCACTGTCGAGGGAAACATGAGAAAATAAGGATTAATCTTCTGTTCTCAGTGGTGATGAATCAGAATTACTTCCTTCTAGGGATTCTGTTTTTTGAGTACAGCAAAAATATCATATTTATTTTTAGTAAAATAACTGGTTTAGCTAATTTCTGCAGTGATCATTTAGCATGAAACAATAATTCTAATAAAATGACAAGGAAAAATATCAATTGTTTATTAATTTGATTTAACCAAACATAGTCAAAGCATAAATATTTCATATTCCCAAAATTGATCACAGAAGAAAAAAGCCATAATGTTGGCATGTTAAAAATTTACACAAGAATGTATTAGTCTAGACAATATACATATCATACTCAACTCAGATTTCATGAAAAGCTTGCTTCTAAAGAAGCTAAAGTCCAACTATAAAATTAAAGCTTATACATTATACATCAGTTTCTCAGTTTGCTGTAAACTCTGACATCTCAAAGTGATGAGTTAGAGAAATGTAAGTCTACATTGTAAACATCTTATATTTAATAACTTTCAATAACCCATGTCAATTGCAACCAATGGGTCACGAAACCTCAAATAGAAATGAGTAGGTCATCATATGAGGTAATTAGTTCGTATCAATGATAGATTTATTTACTTTTAAGATGTTTAGTACATAGAAAGTAAAAAGACAAGAAACAAAAAAAAAATATATCCCCAAAAGGTTGAAGCATTTAAAATGTTGAAAAAGTAACAGTAACCAAAAACAGGTGGAGATTAACTTACAACTGCTTTGAGGGTTTGTGCCCTTGACATTGGATACAACTCCTAGAAGGGTACTAAAAACTCCTGGAGGCTTCTTTCCGGTTTGAGTGTCCTTAAATGCCTGTGATTGAACAGAAAACTGAAAAGGATTAGAAGATAAGATCAAAAACGCATCTATGACATTTAAAAACTTACTTACAATTCTTTTAGAGACAATGAATAGAGAAATATCAAATTTTAAAATGAAAGAGAAGAAACCTATTTTGATCAAAAGGGAAAAACATAACTACAATTTTTTTAGAGACAATGAATAGAGAAATATCAAATTTTAAAATGAAAAGAGAAGAAACCTATTTTGATCAAAAGGGAAAAAAAATAACATAGCATATACCGAGACAGTCGGTTCTACCACAATAATAAAAATTACATGGACCACTATTTGAATTAATATCAAAATTACCTGCATGCGTGTTCTAGCAAGTTCAATAGGGTAGCATGTAGCACAAGCTAATGACCTTGCCAAAGAGCCAGAAACCAAAGGAACATATGGTGTTAAACCAGGCATATACTGCGCTGTGAGCCCGTCCATCCAGTTGCGGAATATGTCATAGCAAGGTAAATAGATTCCCACCTGTATACCAAATGTGAGTGACCATCACAAAAGCTTTATTAATATTTAGTACCAGATGCCTGTATCCAAAAATACTTACACTGACTGCTAAAAGGATCACTAGTCAAAAGGGGGGAACTCACCGTTGGGACAGCCAAAGCCAGACCTGCATTAGTTCCTCTCCATAACCTAGAAAATCCCTCCTGCAGAACATTCCTATGAGGTGATTGAAAATGGTAGAAAACACAAACAAGGAACATAAAAAAAACCACAATTGGTAACATGTATTTTGAATGTAAAACACTGCCCAGTTTAGGTTATTACAACAATCTTATCTACAAGCTACAAGATGACTGCATTGCAGCACCAACCTGGCGTATTATCTTGTTGAAGACATCTAATGTTCCTTTGTACTGAAAACAATCAGGAGGACAAATTGCTACAGTGCCATGGACTCCGGCGCGTGTGCATGATGGTGAACATCTTAAATCAGCAAACATCTATAATCCAAAACATCCAGAGATGTCAAAATTAAGCACGCTAGCCCCGCAGACAAAGAGATTAAAACACACAACATAAAAATTCCTTTTGGGAAAAATTAGAAGTGAGGGAAAAAGCATTGCAATTTTACCGTGTTTGGTCCAAAATATGCCATTCGACTAATAAGATTACTCAGCGGATGCGAGTAAGGTACTCCGGCAGCCTGAGCTTGCAACCTCGTCTGTTAATTACAAGAAAAAAAAATATTAGCAGCGCTTTAGCAATGAAAGCACATTTAAACAAGAAAGAAACAATCGATACAATGAAAATTCAAATACCAAACACTCAGGTAACGGACAAGTAAAATATTCATTAAAAAAAAAAAGAACTGTGTTTGTTATAATTACCTTGACAACATCAAGAGGATTAACGATGATGGCGGATAAAAAGGCGGCACCGGCAGCAGAGAAAGCTCGCTCTCCAATCCCTAGATTCGAATCGGACGCATTGTTATTGTGCTGGTCCTGAGGAGCACATAATTCGCTCCCATCTTTATCGGTTATCATTGGTTCCGTGATCGACAAATCGTGACCGTTGATTTCAACTCTTGAAGATTTCTCTGAACTCATCCATGGATTCTGTGTTCGTCGCTCTGTTTCCGCCATCTTTACTTTTTTTTTTTTTGTTCTTCTCTCTAGAAAATCAATCGAAAATAAGTGTGAAAATAGAATCAAAGACGGATTGATTCCGAGATAATCGCATTTTAGGACTTTTTTATTGACTTTTTGAGGAAAAAAGGGGAATCCAAGCGATTTTCCAAGTTACTTGGGGAAGAGGGAAATAAAAAGATTAAAAAAGGAGTGAAAAATGCTTACCAGAACAAAAGCGAGAGACGCACAACACCCTCTAACCTTAGGCCACGTTTGGGAGTTTTTTCGAAAACGACTCTATTTTTTGGATGGATGACAAAAGCAACAGTACTTTTTATCTGATTTTGATTAAAAAGGAAGGGAAGTTCTACTTCGAGTTATTTGGTCCAACCACTGGTGAAGTGGGTGGTAGAAGTAGGGGAGTACGTTAGTGAAAATAGAACTGGCCAAGTCCCTCGAAAAATGAATGGAGAAACAAACAGGACCTTATATTTATGTTGATGAAAGTTTTTGCCGTTAGGTATTCTAGGGCTTTCTACATGGCGCTTGAAAAGAGGCATGGCTCGCGGAGAGTCAAGCACTCCAAGTCTAAAACGGCGCGGTAAAACCCTAAACATAGCATCACTGAAAATCGGAATGATATAATATCCACGTCTAATAACTAATTATTGGACTGAAACTTTATAAGAATTTTTTATACATTTTTTTTTTCAAATAAATTTTATAAGAGCTTGTTGTCCAAGCTAACAATATTTCATGGTGAACTCAGTTAAAAAATCTTGACATCAACGGTATTAGGTCATTTTTTAATGTATAAAATTATTAATAGAATAGGATAATAATTATTTTATATCATATTTAATTTAAATTTTAAAAAATAAAAATTATAAGAAAGATTAATATTTTTTTGATATAAAATTATTTAATCTTCTCTAAATAAAAATAATTATTTTTAATTTATAGAATTAAATTTATATATTTAATTATATTTTAAAAATTATATCAATAATTTAAATTGTATAAATTTTAAGGAAAGATAATTTTGACAAAAAAAAATTTTTTTCTTATTTTAATGATTGCATATATCAAATATAAAATAAAATAATATTATTTAATCTAATCATATTCATAATATCATTTTATCTTATCTTATTATAATTTTACATATCAAACATAACTTTAATTCGTTAATTTGTTGCATAAAAAATATAAAATATTTAAATATTCAATAAAAAATAATTTAAATAGTATAAATAAAAAATAAAGAATTCTTAAACTCTAACCACCGATATTTTTTTAAAACCAAAAAATAATTTCATTTCATCTCATTTTCTCAATTACACATATAAGCTTCGCTACTTAGCACACGTTAAATCTCATTTACGTTGATCAGTTATGCTTCAACATGAATACACTTACGGTTAAAATAAGCTCTTTAATGGTCATAATTGATGGCTTGATGGTATGTTTCAATTTTGAGGTTAATTTTATCATTCAATTAGCCACTTATAAAATTTTTTTATTTTGGGATTTTTTTAAAAATTAAAATTAAAATAAATAAAGAAAAAAATAAAAAGAAAAGGAAAACCATACATTTTTTATTTATTTTTAAAAAATATATTTTACAAAAAAAGCTACAAAAAAGAAAAAAAAATAATTAAGAATTTTTTTATTTTCCCTCTTTTAATTTTTCCTTTAATTTTTTATAAACAATAAAAAATAAAATATCAATAATCAATAATTACCAATGAATTAATCATGAATAATAATTATTATTATTATTATTATTATTATAATTGTCCTTAAGTATGGACAATTCCAATTAAAGTGGTCAATTGATTGTCGAAAGAAATAAAGATTCTGTTTATTCGTAAAAAATATTTACATCTTTTGAATTGAAAGAGATTTTTTGTTGTTTGGATGAGTTAATAAAAAATGTTTTTCATGATTGGTTATTTTTTGAAAATTTTGTGTTTTATTTCAAATAATATTAATATAACTATTAAAATATTAAAAATTATTTATTATTAAAATATATTGAAATTATTTATTATTAAAATAATTAATATTAAAAAATAATTATATTTTAATAATAATATTTAATATTAAAATATTATTTTAATACAAAAATACTTAAAACAAAATTATTTATTATTCTTTATATTGTTTATTACTATATTATAATATTATTTATTAATAATATTTCTTAATATATTATATTAATTGTATATTATTTATTAATATATTATTATAATATTTATTAATATAATATTATTTATGAATATATTGTAATATTATTTATTTATATAATATTATTTATAAGTAAAATTATATTAAAAAATATTGATAAATAATTATACTTATACACAGCTTTTTTTTCGAAAAATATCTTCACTTTTTCAAATTCATAAGATAATTTTTTAAAAAATGACATCATTTTCTATTAATTAAGAAGTCATTTTTCGTTGATTAACCAATTTTCAGCCAAACAAATACTTAAAAATATGAAAATCATTTTTCATATTTTATATATAATATAATTTTTTTAATTATGAATTTAATATATGGGTTTTATTTTCTACTTTAAATTTTTTTTATATAATTTATATTATAAAAAATCAATTTACCTATCAATAAATATATTTATTAATTTCATAATTTAATTATATTTTATTATCAAGTAAATATTATTAATATTTTAGAAATTATTATCTTTAAATACCATAAAATTATTAATTTATGTAATTATTACAACATACATTATTATTTTGGTACTTTCAATAATCTTTAATTCTTAAAAATTAATTATTGTTAACAAAATAAAATTATTTTAAATTACGAGTGTTAAGATCACTTTAATAATAAGATCATCTAATAATTATATTATTATGGTGATCTTACAAAAGATGCCAAACACTACCTATATTCGTTTATCTTAATTTGTGTTAAACAAAAATTATCTTTTCAAAAAATTACATAAAATATTAAAATTTCAAATAATCTTTTCATATTAAATCTCTAAATAGTAGGACATATATCCCTCTCAACTCTCTAACTATCAATTTTATATCTAAAAAATAGGTAAAAAATTTGATTAAATTTTTATCACTTATTATATCTTTTTATTTTTTAAAATATTAATATGAAAAATATCTATACAATCCTGAATGTCATTCAAGAGTTATTCTATAAATTAAAAACTATAAATGTAATGTACTGTATCATTTTTTTTTTAGTTTGTAACCTTTTGGAATTCTATTGCTATTGCAATTTATTTTTTCGATTTGCATTTTTTTCCAAGACATATTCTATTTCTATTGCTTATGAAAATTTAATATTTTTTCACTTTATATTTTCACACATCTCCTAATAATTTTTTTATATTTTGTATAATAATTTAAACAAAATTAAAAAAATGAAAGTATACTTATATATCTTTTATTATTTAATTCATAATTCGGTAATATATATGTTTTTGTTTTTTTAAGAAAAATATATAATTTATTTTTATTTGATATAAAATTTAAGTGTATAAATATTATTGGAAATAAAGATAATGCAAAGTGAAAGCATATTATTTTCTTTTTACTTTTTTAAAAAATTTAATTTTTATGATAAATTAGTCAAATATAATATTTTATATATTTTATATTTTAAAATTTAAATATAATTTTAAAAATATTAATATATATAAAATAAGTAAAATTATTTAATATATAGCACCGATTATATTCTAGTTAACCCATATATTTTTACAGCCACAAATACTGTGTAAACGTGATGACTTTCTCTTTTATAAAATCTGTCGTTTGTAACACCAGCACTTTTTCTGCTTCGTGAAGTTGAAGCAGGACCGAATGAGTTTTTTTTTCCCCCTAAAATACTAACAGTGACTTAAAAGTAAAAAAAAAAAAAATGGAAGGTTTGAGAAATTAAAACATTCTTCCAAAATTTTTAATGAACAAAAGTCGGTTGTTATATTTTTTTTCCTTCTAATAGTTTCGGGACCTCTAGATAAATTTTAAATATTTTAAAACTAAAATGAAAAATGCATCATTAATTTTTTTAATTAGATATGATTGATCATTTAAAAAAATTATTTTTTTAATAAAATTTATTAAAAAGATCATTTTTCATTTAATTTACGAAAATAAATTTATATTTGAGAATACGATTACGTGTGAAAAAGATTTAGTACCTCACAATATCCATTTTAAAAACTATAACAATTAATCCCATGTTATCTTTTAGTATTAATATAAGTGGTTTTAATTTTAATATTTAAAATAATTCCCTTAACTTTGTTTGTTTTTGCAAAAATCTTTTCAAAACCTATTATTTAAGAATAAAATGAAAGTTTTTAGTTTAGAATCATTTCTTAAATTTTACTTGAGATTCTCGTAATAATTCTCAAAATCTGCATTAGTATTTATTTATAATAATAATTATTGAGAATCCTTCAAATATTTAGATAGGACATTCAAATTTATTTTTACTTAGAAATATTAGCCTTTATTTTTTAAAAAAAAAATTTTATTTTGATCACTTCAATTTTATTATCAACAAATACCATGCATATGATACAATATATAATAAATGATACAAATAGAAAGAAAATGACACAATGCAAACAATCAATTTTATTTAATTAAATACTCAAATTAGGATCAAACGTTTGGATAGTTGTTCAATTCAGAACTAAACGTTTTTATTTGTACAAATAAGGATCAAATATTATCGAATTATAATAATGTAAGATTTATTTCAATGGTAAAGAAGATATGCATGTTACGCATCGTTATAACATGTAAAAAGAATAAGAAACAACAAATTAGGTAAATTTATGCTGATTTGAATTTTTTTTATTACAATTCTGAAAATAAAAAAAAAATTAATGAAAAGTTTTTAGCAAAAAAAATTTAAGTTTAACCCAAATTAAAAAAAAAAACAAAAAATCTCAAACCTAAAACAGATTGTCCTTAACCCTACTCACCCAAATAAGTTATTTCAATCACTGATTCAATTTCATTTGTTAATTTTTATAAGGTAAGTATTTTTTTTAAACCTTATTTTAGGCTAACCAATATTCGGTTTAAATCGATTACGCTTTAGGAAATGATTCCTTTTAAGGTTCAATCATCTGAGCTTAGAAAAATTGAAAGGTTAGTTGTTTTTTTTTGTTAAATTTGTGTAAGGTGAATAATATGTACATAT